ATCAGTGAGGGGATTCTGCAGACTGTTGAGGGTTCAGCCTCCTGATGAGTCGGTGAAACTCCGACGAAACAGTTTGTCACAGCCCCTTGTTTGTTGTCCTCTTCTCTCTCTCTGCCTACGGTTTACCGGGCAGTTCTGTTTGTGATGATATATATATATATATATATGTATGTATATACATATGTATATAGTATATATATGTATATATATATATTATATATATGTATGTATATATATGTGCGAGGCCACTGCCTCTATGAGCCCCATAAGGCCCCATTTTGCAGCCCATCGGCCGCCCTAAGTGAAGGCAGGCTCGATGAGGCCCTCAGGGCCCTATTCTGGCCACCACGCAACTCAGGGAAATTCAGGCAGTTGCGCAGCGCCAGTTGGTTGAGTGAACCCAGGCCCTGGGCCGCCTGTGTGAATGTATGTGAAGCAGGCCCTGGGCTGGATACGGGTACTGGGCCAAACACAGGCCAAAGGCAGTTGGGCACATGCAACCACCTCAGGCCCAAGGCCTGTTCTCGTCGTGCTGGGCCTCAGGCTACCGGGGCCTACTGGAAGCTTCCTGGGACCGGACGCAGGCAGGCCACTTCGATATAGCAAAGGGCCTGCCTCCGCATTCGACATTCGGGTGCTGACTGCATGCTGCGCAAGCGCTGCTGCGCTATTTGCTGGCTGGCGCCTACGCTCTCACGGGCGAGCAGGGAAGGAGCACGCAGCCATAGCCGAGCTGCGCTGCTGTAAGCTGGGTGAGGCGCAGGGTGGTCCTTCGGTGCTAGTGGCATCTGTGTGTTGGGGAACGAGGTTGTGAGTGTGGCGAGAGGCATACCTGGTGCTGGAAGCGTGCGACGCTGGTCGCTGTATGCTCGTACTTCGGGAAAGCTGTTGACGTCATCTTTCGGCATCGTAGTGTAGGCTAGATAGGATCTGCCACATGTAGTCTGGGCRCCGAKCGCCAGATAGGATATCAACTCTGGTTCTTCGTTGATGATGATGGGACTAGTTCAGCATTGTCAATTATGAACTCTTGGTGTGTTCTTATTTGGTGAATCTCGTGATGCAATTCTGCTGTTGGTTCGAAGTCACGACTATCTGGACTCATATGTATGATGCTGTGTGATTGCTTTGCTGAAGTTCGCTATTGCTCATCTTCCTTGCATATGTATAGTCAAACAGAGCTGCCCGGTAAACCGTAGGCAGAGAGGGAGAAGAGGACAACAAACGAGGGGCTGTGACAAACTGTTTTGTCGGGGAATTTCACCGACTCATCAGGAGGCTGAACCCTTTTTTATTTGGTTTTCTGCACTCTCCCAGAGGACCCCAAATCCGGGCTCATTTCTTTTTTTGCGAGTTGGCTGTCAAAGGGGGGAAAGGGGTTTAAAGGGGGGGTTCCTTTGTGTGATTCTGTTATTTTGTTTTTTATCTCCGATCCTGTGAGGAATTTTAATGGGACCCTCAGCCAAAATTCGTTTGTATTTCAATTCTACACTAGGCTACCAGAGTGGCCCGGGGTCACTGCCTGGCAGGGCCAAAAAAAAAAAAAAAAACATATATTTTTTTTTTTTTCTAAACTTGGTGACGAATTTCGATGTGACCCTGAGGCAAAAGTTGTTCAGTTTATTTTTCTGCATAACATAGTTTGTTTTTGGATTTTTTGGGGTTTTTTTTTTTGTTTTGTTTTGTTTTTTGGTGGGACCTTCCCTGGTCCTTGCACGGGCTGGCCACCCGGGACCCAGGCGGCCCGGCTGGTAGCCTAGATTCTACACTTTTTTTTCTGGATTTTTTTCCGGAATTTTTTGAGTTTTTATTCCCCC